ACGGAAGGAAAAAGCACTCATTTTCTATCAAGATGAATCGTGATGTTATTCTAATGACGAAAAGACAAGTATTTGGATCGAGGAGCAGACAGGAAAAGGAAGATTTCGTCGTTCAGAAGGAAAAGGTATGTAAAAATGAGTAACTAAGCCTAGTTGATGATCAACGATTTTGGCTTTAGTTGTAATGCTCCTCTGCTAAGCACATATTTTGCATTAAATGATTGATAGGTACCCGTCTCGCTATCAATGGGATGATCAGTCGACATGGTTTTCATCAATCATCTGCAGAAGTATTTCAGTGCAAACACGAACATAATATGGATGGGACACACTTTAATGAATGGCTCTATCAAACGTGTATTAAGTTGAGAAAGGAATATGGTAATATAACGAAATATTCAGAGGTTCTATTTGTAAAAATACGAATTTTTTTTATAGGACAAAAGGAGAAAATATGTATTGTGATTGATAATGCGACATGGCATTCCCAACTAACGGATACATCTAAAATACCATTGAGATCTTGGAATAAAAAATCAAATTCGTCAATGGTTGATTGATCACTCAGTTCCATTCATTGATCAATATAGTAAATCAGAACTCCTTGAATTGAGTTATGCATATGCACCAGAAAAAGAATACATTGTTGATGAAACAGCCAAACAATTTGATATTGAAATTATACGTCTACCAGTTCGTCATTGTATACTCAGTAAGTAAACACTAAGAAAATCATAATTTATTTCACTAAATTTCTCTCCATCATGGTTTGTTTTAGATCCTATTGAAATCTGCTGGGCTGAACTTAAGAAATCCGTTCGAGATCAAAATACCACATTTAAATTAAAAGATGTTGAAAAGTTAATTTGGAATTGGCTTAACAATTGTGACTCAACATTCATATCGAATTGCATCGATCACGTACAAGTATACGAAGAAAATTTTAAAAAAGCTGATCAATTCATAGAACAAATCGAGAATGAACTAAATGATGACGATAATATTGATAATGACTCCGACTTGACTGAAGATGAAGATGAAGATGAAGAACAAGATGAAGACAAAGGTGAAGGTGAAGATGAAGATCAATAGCTCCAGATAATAAAGAAATTGCTTCTAATTTTTGTTGTTCCTGTTTTGCCGATCTGGCCTTTTTGTATTTCATGGAATATATTGCTCGATGGAACTGATCAGTTTGATCAAGACTGTATACTTAAAGATAAGAAATCTAAACTTTACACTGATAAAAAGACGTTATTGTGAGATAGAACACAATGAAACATCTATATCTTAATTTACTTAGACATATCATGGTTGTTATATTTGTGAGGTAGAAAGTTTCAGCACCAATGCTTCTCCACACAAACTATAAAGCATAAAGGGTTCGCTTGATCTCTATTATATAGAGGACGCTCCAATCTATACACCGACATAAAAAAATCATTAGGTCCTTATGTAAAGTTGTGGAGCTATCAGTCAATCTTTGAGAGATTCGCTAAAAAGTGGATCTAGAAAAATTCATCGAACATTTTGTCCCATAGACAAAAGATGCGCTGTCATTGGGGCTATCTATTGGTGAAAACCACAGGTCTCTAGCTCATTTCGTTCTCGAGATATTCAAAAATTAGTCACACGCACGAACTTTTTGAACGAACTATAGTTTTGGTGCAAGACAATGGCTTTAAGGAAAAGTCAATACAATTTCTTGATTGATATTTCAGATTAAGAGAAACAACTGAATATGCATCGACGTCGACTGGCTTTGGTCTTCGGTAATGATGACTACAGTGGTACAGCAAAATTAAATAGTTGTGTCAAGGATGCAAATAATATGACAGTTGCATTAACGAACTTGGGTGAATCTTTATGACTNAGTGATACTATAGCTCGTCCAAAAAGTCCGTGCGTGTGGCTGTATTTTGAATAACTCGAGAACAAATAGAGATAGAGACCTGCGGTTTTCACCAGTAGATAGCCACGGTGATAGCGCATATTTTTTGTACCGGAGAGAATATTCAACGGATTTTTCTAAATTCATTCTATAGCGAATCTGTGAAAACATAGCTGATAAATCAAAAACTTTACATAGGGACCTATTGATTTTTTATGCTAGTATATAGATCACACCATCCTATAAATAATAGAACTTGGGCGAACTCTCTATTTTCTATGGTTTCCATGGAGGAGCATTATTCCTGAAACCACCTATTTCACACATATAACCACCATAATATGTGTAGGTAAATAGAAATATAGGCATTTGATTTTGTTGTATCTTACGATGGTACTTTTTTTAATCATTTCTGCAAAGAATTCTTTAAGCAGAAAATGTCATGCAGCAGCTCTATTGTTGAGAAAAGCCATAGAATACGTAAAAAGATAATCGATAGCAGCGAACTTGGCTGTTCCAATTATTTCTATTTTATATTGATTTTTTAATGAGTTGTGTATTTCATGTCACGAAGTGGAGGCATGATTTTATATGTTGTACCATCTTTTCTGTCTTATATTGGTTTCCTAATATGGAGTCTTAGGATATACAAGAGGAATTTATGCTTTACTATATATTCATGGTTTGCTTTTAGATACAGTAAACTGTTCATATTTAGTTTATTATGGCAAAACAGTTTTCGCCTCAAACCAGGCAAATTATGCTTCGAGTTATTCAATTTGTTAGATCAGAAAAACATGGGATACAAATTCCGTTGAACAATGTTAATGATCGTTTATGTGCAATGTTAGGCGTTTCATCCCGTTCGATTGATAATCTGAAGAAAGAATTGAAAGAAATTGAGGCATCTCAAGAAGAACCATCACATAGGAGCCTTCGATCAGGATCGAGTACAAGTATCACTGTAAGAAAGTTATCAATGCTCTTGAAATTGCTGACTTTTGCTATTAATTTTATTTAGGATGAAACAATGGAGCAGTCAGAGCTAGTCAGTGGCCGTCCAAAAATTAATTTATCTGATTTTGGTAAGGATATGATTCGATATGAATTTCATCTTTTATTGGCTGAACGAGTCTACCCTACATTGGATCGCATGATGACTCGATTGTTAGCCGATTTTCCTGAATTTCCAATCAAAAGTAAAACAACATTGTCGAAACAATTAAAACAAATGGGATTTGTTTATCGAAAAACATCGAAAATTAAAACACCATTGAAATCAACATTTTTTATGTCCCAAAGAGCGAAGTATTTTCGTCGTATTGATAAACTGCGTGAGGAAAAAGCACTCATTTTTTATCACGATGAAACGTGGTGTTATTCAAATGAAGAAAAGACGAGCATTTAGATTGAAGAACAGACAGGACAAGGAAGATTTCGTCGTTCCGAAGGAAAAGGTATGTAAAAATAAGTAACTAAGTCTGCTTGAGAATAAATGGTTTTGACTTTAGCTGTGATGTCTGTTTGATAACCACATATTTTGTATTTAATAACTGATAGGTACCCGTCTTGCCATCAATGGGATGATAAGTCGACATGGTTTTCATCAATCGTCTGTGGGAGTATTTCAATGTAAACACGAACATAATATGGATGGAGAACATTTTAATGAATGGATCAAGCAAACGTGTGCTAAGTTAAGAAAGAAGTATGGTAAGATGAAGAAGTACTCAGAGTTGTCACTTGTAAAATAAGTATTGTTTTTAAGGAAAGAAGGAAAAAATATGCATTGTGCTTGATAATGCGACATGGCATTCACAACAAACGGATGCATCTAAAATACCGTCAAGGTCTTGGAATAAAAACCAAATTCGTCAATGGTTGATTTATCATTCAGTACCATTCCTTGACCAATATAGTACATCTGAACTTCTTGAACTAAGCTATGCATTTGCACCAGAAACAAAATATATTGTCGATGAAACAGTCAAACAATTTTATATTGAAATTCTACGTTTACCAGTTCGTCATTGTATACTTAGTAAGTCAAAACTAAGAAACTCGTACTTTATTTTAGTAAACTTTGTCTCTCTCATATTTTTCTTCAGATCCTATTGAAAGATGCTGGGCTGAACTTAAGAACTCTGTTCGAGATCAAAATACTACATTTCAATTAAAAGATGTTGAAAAATTAGTATGGAACTGGCTTTACAATTGTGACTCAACATTCATATCAAGTTGCATCGATCATGTACACGTATACGAAAAAAACTTCAAAAAAGCTGATCAGTTTATACAAGAAATCGAGGATGAACTAAGTGATGATGATAATGTTGACAATGACTCCGACTTGACTGAAGATGATGATGAAGATCAATAGGTTCAAATAATAAACAAATTGATTTTGATTTTTGTTGCTCCTGTTTTGTTGATTTTGTCTTCTTGTCTTAATAGTATATGTTTTTCAATGGAGCTAATGAGTTTCATCAAGACTATATACTTAAAGATAAGAAATCTAAGTCTTCTTAATGATTAAAAAAAGCACTATCGTAAGATACAACACAATCAAATGCCTATATTTCTATTTACCTACACATATTATGGTGGTTATATGTGTGAAATAGGTGGTTTCAGGAATAATGCCCCTCCATGGAAACCATAGAAAATAGGGAGTTCGCCCAAGTTCTATTATTTATAGGATGGTGTGATCTATATACTAGCATAAAAAAATCAATAGGTCCCTATGTAAAGTTTTTGATTTATCAGCTATGTTTTCACAGATTCGCTATAGAATGAATTTAGAAAAATCCGTTGAATATTCTCTCCGGTACAAAAAAAATATGCGCTATCACCGTGGCTATCTACTGGTGAAAACCGCAGGTCTCTATCTCTATTTGTTCTCGAGTTATTCAAAATACAGCCACACGCACGGACTTTTTGGACGAGCTATAGTATCTTCATGGTTACATTGACACGTACTATTGACTCCATCCTGATGGCGTTCTCTTACCACCACCCTTACTCTGTCCACAGTTATAGCCTCAGTCAATCTGAAGGTAGCAAATTTCTGTTTTTTGAATTTGGGATTTGCTACTTTATGCTGTAGACTATATGAAATATTGTATGTGCTAAAGTTTTTAACTTTCGTTAGCTTTAAGTTACTGAGATGAAGAGCAATCAAAACATTGCAAGTCCTCAGTACATATCAGTGAAGTAACTGCCACTATATGCTTTCCTTTTCAGTAAAAGAATGCGTGTTTGCATAATATTTCATTATTAAGACTGCTGCAGGATTCCCAGATATTTCAAGGATCTCTTGAAACCCTTTAATGCAGTTAAGTGTAATTTTCAGCTCCGACGACTGATTGGTGTGGCTTGTAAGTAGATTTGCTTATCGTCAAAATGTCATATCAAAAGAAATCGTTATTGTGCTGAACAGGAAAGAAAATAGCATCGTGAAGCTACATACTTCTTTATATTCTAGATCTTTCTTTAGTGGTTTAAATTGGTACAGGTGACAGACATATAGCACAGTGAACAATCACTCGGTGTGACAATAGTTTTGCAACACTTTATTGTGTTGCATACATATATTATGCAAATAATGTTGCCAAGAAATCATATTGAAATCGATTTCAATCTGATTTCTTCCTAATATTTTGTGCATGGAAAATCTTAGTATCTCAGAAGCTAAAAGTGTCAACTTTTTCAAAATTCGCATAATACCCTTCTGAGTTTGAGCAACTTCATGCAAAATCAGCAATTTTTTCATAATACGTGTTAGCTAATGAAGATGTGAATATCAACATTTACTGGCATATTCATTCAGAGGCTTGTGTACGTCGTAGTCTGAGATGAACTTCGTTGATTACTATTTGGTTTAAGAGGCTGACTGTTTTCATGGATAATTTTGTCATTTCAAACGTTGTTTACATGTGCGAATGATCTTTGTTCTGTTTCTCTTGTTATCCTTTTTGTCTATTATAAATGTAATCATATAAAAGTTTCGAATTTCATCTCAGTATTATGTTTGGTATCAATAAATGAAATATTCGACCTCTCGTTTCTTCTTATAGTGTTTGTATATTATCCATGAACAATGAAAGCAAAGAATATCGAAACTCATATCACAAATGCGAGAGAATGGCTGTGATGAAACTACATCATCAAGATTAATACAATTTTGTCTATTTTAAACTACATCAACACCATCGGAAATTGAATTCATTCTTTTCTTGTTCCATTTTAATTGCTTCAACACGTGAATAAACACTGTTTGTGTCAGTTATTCTTTGATCAGCATTTGTTTCGTTTTCATTTAAAAGTTGATCTCTGTTTGCAATGAGACTACATAGATTAGATTAATGAAAAATTTTCAACAGAACTTTGATTATACAAGATGCAATCACATAGTGTGACGTTCGAATTTCTTTATTTCCATCGTGAAACTTGTCAAAATACGAGTTGAATGTCACATAAAATCTATATTAGTCGTCTGTCTATCTGACATGTGAAGAAAACAAAAAGCGTATTCTACTTTGCTAATTACTCTGCTAAAAATATCAACTTTTCCGGTTTATTCGAGTAACAAGAGTATCAGAAACAAAGCCAGACGAATAGATGAATTTCATCTAACAACTGATAGATAAATGGCAGTGAACGTGAGTCAGACAAATCAAACTTTCCCCAAATCTCTTTTCATATTTTAAATCAAGCGGAACTAAAGAAATAAAATTTATTCATAAATAATCGTAAGCTAGTTTATAGGATCCTCAATCCTTTTTGATTTGTATATAAAGTGCAGAATAGTCTTCCTAATGTATGATCAATCTGATGGATTCTTCTCTGAGAATCATAGTCGCTATGGCTGAGTAGTTAAGATGTTCGACACATATCCATAAGATACTATGTTGGAACTTCAGCGCTATCACACATAGAATGACCTTGAACAAGTCACTGACAGCTGCTTATCTCGAATCACCCATCCGATTGCACACTGCCTACGTAGTTGACATATGCTAAAAGTCCTTGTGGCTAGTGTGTGGTTAGTTAGCATGCATGGGGAGCTTAAGTGATTAAGCGGGAGGAATTCAGAGTTAGACCGGCTTTCTGTTCAGAGCTACAGCTAGTAATGGCTATAGGAGAACATCGGACTTTCGAGACTGTCTTCGGACAGCACTCCATACGACAAGGTAGCCGAAAGGGAGGGTATTCTTCCTTCCTTCCTTTCTTCCTTCCTGAGAAGCATTCAATGAACTATCTATATTAAAGTTAAAAATAACTCTCAATCTCATCCACCCTTCCTCAAAATGGAAGACATTATTTTTGGATGATACGCTTCATAATTTTTAAACTGCCTAACACAATGAAACAAAAGCAGTTGATGAACAAAATACAACAATGATGTGGGGCATGTCAATTGTAAATCAAGAATAGTCTTGTACAGTTATTGTTAAACGATCTAGAATTGACCGTAGTCTAACATGAATATTGAACTTTCAACGAAAAGAGTTGCTTTATTACTCTCATTGAAAGTCAGGCACGAGCATAACTTGCTATTTCATCGTAATTTATTCCCAAGAAGAATATGAACGATGATGGGCAAGTGTTGTTTGTATGAGAACCTCATGCATTTGAACTTTAACATAAGAATAAGAATCATCGAATTTAAAAGCACAATAAAGGAATAATAGAAAGCTGACGCAAAAAAAATTGCAATGAATAATTTGGAATTCAACACAATATTTTTAAATAAAACAATCGTCGTTGACAAAACTGAGAATTTGACTAAAAAAGATTTCTCGCCTTGTAACAAATCCGATTTCTATGAAGAGAAAATTGTTCTCCCTCTCTCATTCTCTCTTATTTTATAATTTTTCTTGTCTCTATTTCAGACTACCCATTACGTTCTCCGTCCAGCACCAACATTCATCCGAATGCTCGATGGCAACAGAATGGTATCACTGTGGCTGGAGGAAATCGACAAGGCAATGGAATCAATCAACTCTCTAACCCATGCTGTTTGTATGTTGATGATGATCAAACTGTGTATGTCGCTGATGCATCGAATTATCGTATTNTTTTATACCAAATCTTGTTTCATGAAACGGTTCATCAATCTAGTCACTACCTATTGCTGAAAACCGCAAATGACTAACTCTTCTCGTTATTGAATAATTTACATTTTATTAGTTTTCACTGGAGTGCGACATACAATTTGTCCCACCCTTTTTGCCTATCTCCTGACCAAACTATAAACAATCAAGAGCTGATTTTTTTATCATAAACGTCAATTGTAAGTCACAACTTAAGTTATAAATATCAAAGCTCTAGATCGTCTCTAAAGAACAATAACTTGAAAATACAATCAAATGTCCCATCTTCGTATTTTGTCCCACCCTTTTTGCCTATCTCCTGACCAAACTATAAACAATTAAGAGCTGATTTTTTTATCATAAACCTCAGTTGTAAGTCACAACTTAAGTTATAAATATCAAAGCTCTAGATCGTTTCTAACTAACAATAACTTGGAAATACAGTAAAATGTCTTTTTATTAATAGTTTGTAACATTCGCCTATTACTTGAAAATTTGAATATATTATTATTATGACCTGTGTAAAAACACTAGATCACACTGCCGTCGATGTATCTTTTCTTGTTCGTCCCTTTTGTCTCTTTTTTCTTTTCCTTTTATCCTCTTTCCACTTTTTTTTCAGTCGACTTAGATGTATAGCCGTCTTTATATACTGAAAAAGAACGTATTGTTCGTTATATGTATGTCTACGCGTAGTTATTATGTTTTCAAAGAAGAGTAAATAAAATTAAAATCATCTTAACAATTGTTCAAATTCAACTAAAATTCTACACTATATATTTCTTTTCATAAGAATCAGCTGACCAAGTTGATTATTTGAAAATCTTTTGTGAAAGCTGATTTCAGGTGAGTGATTCTTACAAAAACTAATTCGTGTTCCATAATCATTTAACTTTAATTAGTTGTAGACAATGTGGAAACGTTTACAAACTTCTTAGAACATTAGTTTATACTTTTTGTTTCAGATTGTTCTTTTTCTTTCATCTCGAATGGGTTCGAAGAAGGATGACGATAACAACCAGAAGAAACTACAACAACGAGAAAAAGAGGAACACAAGAAAATCAGACGAAAAACTTCAAGAAGTTCTAGGCTAAACATTAGAGAACGAGATCGAAAACGGAAAGCCAGACAAAGATAAAATTTAATTTCATCAAAAGAACAAGCACCGGAAAGTTCTGGAGCTAGACGAAAAGAAGGTTTACGTCGACGTCGAGTTTATCTGGCCAGACTTCGTCATCGTATTAAATATTTAACGAAAATATCACATGTACAAAAAGCCAAAATCAAACGTCTTCAACAAAAATTATTGAAAGAAAAACAAAATAATCAACGTTTAACTAATTTAATAAAATCCAATAATAAAATTTCTGGTTATTCTGTAACTGGTATGGATAATAATGAAATTAGAAGTAATGATGATGATAATAGAATGGAAAATATTACAGTGAAAGATTTATTTTTTAATAATTTAAGTCCAAATGCTAAACAAAGAGCGAAAGCTCGCATAGCTGAACAAAAGGATCAATTACCACGTGGATTAAATCGGAGTTTACGAACTGAATTAGGCTTAAATGTTTCAAATCCTGCTCATGTTACACAAGATGAACCATCAAATTTAAAAAATCTTGTAATAAATTTTATGATCCGTGATGACATCTCCAAAATCTCTCCAGATGTCAAGAAAATGATTAATGGTACATCAATTCGTTATTGGCTTCATAATTTAAATATATTACATGAACAATTTGAAGCTGAAACTGGTACATCAATTGCTTATTCAACCCTTTCAAGTTATGTTCCAGTTTATGTTAAGAAACCCAATTTATCTGATTGGGGTACATGTTTGTGCGCTTTTTGTCTCAATCCTCAAATTAAGCTAGAAAAATTAATTAGAGCTGGAAAATTACTTGATATTGATGCTGATTTGTGCTATATTATAAATGACATTACGAAAATCAATAATTTAACAACACAGTTAAACAAATTAAAAAGTCAATCAGAAAATATTACTTATATTGAATGGCAAAAGGAAAGACTACCGAATCATAAAGCACCTCTTTCTAAAAAGAACTATTGTTCATCAACATTAAAGGATTTCGTCTCGAAATTTTTAACTGAAATTGATGTACGTAATTTATTTCTATTTTTGTTCTCTATGCAACTATTCTTTTTCATATATGATTTTTTTTATTTGAAGATATTAAAAGAACATGTTCAACGAATAAAATCACAATTTTCCGCTTTTAAACAAGCACGATTAGATGCTCTTAATTTACCTGAAATTGCTGCCATTCAAATAGATTGGAGCGAATCGTTCATTCTCAAACAAGCTCGTGAAGAGAGATCTGCCTATTATAATACCCAAAATATTTCAATTAACTCCGGATATATCTGGATAAAGTCTTATTCATATGGTTTTGGAGCTTTTTCTGACAACACTTGCCATTCTGCTGAAGCAACTTGGGCATCTATTCAAAATTTACTAATTAAATTAGTTAAAGAGGAAAATATGAAAAACATAATTTTGATCACAGATAGTACCGTAGCGCAATATCGTAACAAAACGACATTCTATCTGTGCCGATATTGATGACACGGTTCGATGATTCTCCTTCTTTCTCTGTCTGTTCTCTTTCCGTTGTTCTAATATATCTCTCTCCTGTCTCTCTTCTATCTCTCTCCTATATATATATGTGTTATGTATGAAGTTGTTACTCTCTGGATATGTGAAGAAGCGAATAAACATCATTGCCGAGAGTGGCGGTAAGCTACTCCACCTCTATTCAGTTTGTCATTACGTATCAACCCAGTCAGGGTCCTTATATTCGTTACACTATCTTATAGCACTATTCGCAAAAACATTCGAAATTGAATTTAAGTGGATATACCTGGAGTCAGGTCATGGTAAGGGGACACCCGATGCCATTGGTGCTGTGATTAAAAAGGCAATGGCTGATGCAATTGCATACAATCCTGATGAAACATTTAAAGACGCAAAAGATTTACTCGTAGGAATTGAAAATCGAGTTAATTTTAAATTATCTATTTATGAAACGAAAGATATTCAACAAATTAAGAAAACTTTACCAAAATTAAAACCTATAAAAGGAACCTTTGAGTTACATGAAATGTCAGCGACTAAACAAGGTTTATTGGTTAGTAAAAACAAATCAAGAGATAGAGATATATTAACACGTATCAATTTTTTTATTTAAACATTTTCTTAGTTTTTTCATACATTTATTTTTTTTGTTTTGCATAACGAACAGTGTAGAAGAAATCATTGTGTAGCTTTATTTGAAGAACGAAAAAACTTATAATATTCTTATGATACAGATAGACTGGCAACTTGATTATGAAAGCTGAATCACATTTTCCTCTTATAGAATCTGCTTTTATGCTTTTCTGAAATCAATTTCTGTTCAATAATAAGCTAAATATTTTCTTATTGAATTTCTTCAAATTTTCTGATTTCTACATCTAACGAAAAACTACTTAGTTGTTTGCAAAACCACTTTTTCTTATACTTCGAAGTATTCTCTATCTTCTGCCAATACTTTTAAGTGCAGCCGTTTACTTTTTTTTTCGGTCACTTTTTCAAAAAAAACGGTACAATAGACACCAGAATCACTTATATGTATATCATACATGTCATCTATGTACGATAGCAGAACAGAAGAAATAAAGAGAAAAAAGGAAAACACTGCATATAACTAGATCACACTATAACAAAGATTATTGGTCATATAGATGCAAAATATTTTCAGGCGTATCATAGTTCACTATCATACCATTGTCCAATACAAGAATACGATCACATTTGGCTACTGTGTTCAGTCGATGAGCGATTGTCATAACAGTTCGATCTTGAAATTTCTCCTTAATAATGGTTTGAATTAGATCATCTGTTTTTTGATCCACATGAGCTGTTGCTTCGTCAATCAATAATATTTCGCTTTTCTTCAAAGTGGCTCGTGCAATAGTTATCAATTGACGTTGACCCATACTCAAATTATTGCCTGATTCAGCAACAGACATTAGAAGGCCTTCTGGATGATGCGTTACAAACTGTTTGAGTTGAACATCTTCGAGTACTTTCCAACATTGTTCATCGGAATAAGAGTTGTATGGATCAAGGTTATATCGAAGAGTGCCACTAAACAATATAGATTGTTGAGGAATGACAGTGAGATGAGATCGAAGATGATTAAGTGTGATGCGACTGATGTCAACGTCATCAATTAGAATTTGACCATCAACATTTGATCGATCAATAAATCGAAGGATGCCTTTGACAAGTGACGATTTTCCAGCACCTAGAAACACAAGCCATTAAAAAAACATATGATCTAGAGATTAGTACATACCAGTTCGACCAATGATGCCAATCTTCTGACCAGACTCGATTCGCAAATTAATATATCTAATTGCATATTCTAAGTTGGGTCGATGACGTAATGAATAATTTCTAAATTCAATTGTTCCACGAATTGGCCATTCTGGTGAAGTTTTCACAAGACGTTTATAGCCGCCTTCATCCTCTTCTGGTGGCAAATGTGAATATTCATCAATGCGTTCACCACTTGTCATCAATATATCAGCTTCGGACAATCTTCTAACGCCCCATTGAAACGATAATGCTATTGATATTGCTGATATCAAACTGAGTGCAACTTTTGACGAGTCTATTTGATTGTGAAATAATACTATTTGCACAGAAGTGACCAAAAAATTTAGCGAACACACGAGAGAAAGTAGTAATGCGAACGGTTGTGATGCAGCTTGTACATTAATGCATGCAGATGTATTGACATCAATTCTATTTGAAATTAATTGAATAAAACTGTTTTCAGCTTTAAATGCATGAATAGTTGGTAAACCATTCAGAGACGTTGAAAAGAGTGCATAAATAGGACTGCAAGTGATACTTTCAAGTCGTTTTAATTGACGAGAAGGTTTTTGATGAAAACGAATTATCAACCAAATGACTGGAACTAATATGATAAGTAAAAGAAAGACAGATGGATTAAAAAAACCAACAATGAACATTGAGCCAGCTGTCATTAAAAGTGCTATCACACCTCTCAGAAATAAAAAAGGCACTAACTCGTCGATAACATGCTGGTCTTTGCTTGCTCGATTAAGGATTCTTCCAGTTGAATTACTTTCAAAAAACTGTATTGATGTATATAATAGTCCTCTTAACATATTATTGTGAAACCTATTCGAACCATGTAAAACAACAGTAAAATAATAGTTCATACGCACTATATCTGCAAATACTGTAGCTATTATCAAAGAAAAATAAATGTAAGCAAAAACAGATGAAATTTGTTCATCTGTTTCTGCTCGTTTCAACAATATGCTGAGGCAACAGTTTGCACTATCGCTTAACACTTCACCTAGCAAGAGTAAAACCATAAGTAAACAGAAGCCAAAGATGCCGGATGGTGGTGCAGTAAACCATTGATACCAAACAGACCACCTAACGCCATCATTAAGAGACGTTTCATCAGTTATGATCGATTGAGCATCAGCCATCGATGGATTTATATCAAGCATATCAGCTAATACTGATGTTTCATTTTTGTTAGGATCTTCTTTTCTAATGATATTTTCCTTCAAACAACCTTGTTTATCAATGTGTCCATGTGAAAGAAATATTGTTTGATGTGATTCATGAAGAAACTGTGCTTGATGAGTAGCCAATAGACGAGTTTTATTTTTCAATAATCCATATGGACCAATGCATCGATCATAGATTTGTTTGGCTACTCTACGATCGACAGCAGATAATGGATCATCAAGTAAATAAATGTCTTCATCCCCATATAAAGCACGAGCTAATGCTACTCTCGCTTTTTGTCCACCACTTAAATTAGCTCCCTTTTCTCCAATCATGGTGAGTTCGCCTCCAGATCCAAGAAGCCTCAGATCAACATCGAGACAACATGCATATATTACCTGTTTATATCGTTGTTCGTCAAATAGTCGATTTAAAAGGATGTTATTACGAAATGTATCCGCAAATATCCATGGTGATTGTGCAGTATAAGAAAACGAACTATCATTTGTATTTAATTGACCATTAATAAGATTCATTTCACCGAGGATAGCAGCGAGTAAGGCTGATTTACCAGAACCTACTGGTCCAACTATTCCCACAAATGTGCCTTGTTCAATAGTCAGATTAAGCAATGATAGACAAGACAACTCATTATGCCACGAAAAAGATGCATTAGACATGGTTATACTTCCTTTTTGTTGCTGATGGATTGCAGATGTGGATAATCGAGACTGGTGTTCTTGCTTTACGGACAAACACATGAATGCATCTATTCTTTTTGATGCTAATCTTGCTTCACTTAGTTTCTCACTGAGCAGAGGAAGATAAAACATGGCATGATTACGTATCAAAGCAAAGGATAAAAGAGCTGGAAAAACGTTAGTTGTACTCAATGGATAATCGAGAAGCCACGCAGTTCCAAAAGTGAGGAACGCAAGAAGTGGCGTTGAGATAAAGAATTGAGTCGTATTGAGCGCACGCAAACGAGATGTACGTCGAATACTTGCTAATTCATTTTCACGCATTTTAGTTATACAATCCTCCATCGGTTTTTCCCAATTATACATTTTTACGGCATGGCATCCATGGATAAATTCATTGAAAGCTTGTATACGTTTATCGCTACATATAGATGTTATTTTATAGTACTGACCAAATTTCTGACTGAAATACAGCTGTATAAGAATGAATAGAGAAAATAGTGCGAAACCAGACAGAGTGGGTAAAGGATGTAGGATGCAACACAATAAGCCAAATATAATGATGGCTTCAAGAAGTCCTTCACATACCCAACCTAAATGGTTGCATATTTCTTCAAATTTGAATGTATCCTTAGCGATCAAGTTGATAATTTGGCCTGTATTCATTTGTTCCCGTGATGTTGATTTTAGAGACAATGAGTGCTTGTAAATGATTATAATCAGTGCATTACGAATTCGAATGCCAACACGAGCTGAACGAAACGTAACTTGTCGGTCCATGAATGAATGAATAACTAAACAAATAAACAATGATACGAGGTATAAATAACCGACAGTATTTGATTCTTCTTTATCCATCATATTCAAGATAAATTGACGTAAGAGTAATGGCTGAGCGATACATGATATCAAAAAAGGAAGAAGAGCCAGATTAGCAAAAATATAATCTTTTCCAAACTCTTTATTAACAATCTTCCATGTTGTTGTTGATGACCAGTCATAGGAATGTAACCTATCTAATAGTACTGAGATTTTGTCAACATGAGGTGTATCATCAAGATCATTTTCAGTCAATTCTCGTTTGTGGCCTAAAGAAAGAATCGGATAAATCCACGACCAACATAATACATGTAATAGCCGAGCGTAAGACGATTCTGCCCATTCAAGACGAGATGATTGTCGTTCATAGTGATTATTATTGTGATGAGATGGTTCTTTATTACTAAGCAACAATTGGTTTTCATCATCTTCTTGCTGCTTACTCATTTTTGTCCTTAAAATAAGAATCACCAATTGCCTTACGAACATTTTCTTTTATTGAGAGCATTGATGCAAAACGACGATATTATAATGATAGTCTACCTGTATGCTATTATTTCATACACACATTAACAACTATGAGCAGAAAGAAACGCAAGTGTATGAAAAGAATGTATATAATTGAATGATCGCGCACGTTGAAATACAGGGATGAGGCGAAAGAAAAACAAGTGGAGTAGTGCAATAGATGAAATCAAGATCGTATGATATTTTTTCTAACAGTCAGTTTGTCAAACGAGTTCTGTGAAAAAAACGACAAGTTTTAGTGGTTTTACTGTGAATCTATGTATATTATCTTTTTCACATAATCTTGTACACCATATACAAAAAGATAATTTATTTGGATTCTAGTTTAACATGTTATACCCAGTGAAAAATATTCCGAAGAAAATCCAGATTATTTTTGATTAGCGACTGACAAATCCGATTTTTCGAACAACGCTTCTACTTTTTCTAGAAGAATCCGATTAAAATCGATTAAAATGCTATAATCGATTGCAAAATCAATCAACTCAATCAATTATTTTTGATTCACCCAACTAAAATCGAATTTTAATCGGGGAATCGATTTTAATCTGCTCAATCGATTGAAATCCCAATCATCAAAAATCGAATTGAAAGATTATCAATCGATTATCTTAGATTAACCCAACTAAAATCGGATTTTAATCGGAGAATCGATTTTAATCTGCTCAATCGATTGAAATCCCAATCATCAACAATCGAATTGAAAGATTATCAATCGACTAGCTTTGATTAATCCCAGTAAAATCGGATTTTAATCAGGCAATCGATTTTAATCTACTCAATCGATTGAAATCCCAATTATCAAAAATCAAATTGAAACATTATCAATCGATTATTTTTGATTAGCCCCAGTAAAATCGGATTTTAAT